TCAGCTCCAGAGCAGCTTCCTGCTCCAGTGGCAGTGCATGGGAAAGGTGCTCGACTCCAGAGCAGCACCCTGTTCCCATGGGAGCACACGGGAAGGGCGCTCGGCTCCAGCCCTCCACGCTCACCCAGTGGGATGCAGCCAGCGCTGCCCGCTCCGCGCAAGGCGCTCGCATCCCTGTGCACATCCCCCAGCTCCCATGGTGACACACGTGGCGCAGCGAGCAAGCAGGAGCGCTGCTGAGAGCCGAAAAACCAAAGGGCGTCAAGCATGGGGCCAAATGCACCGGACCCCAGCACCCGGGGAGCGATGCTCACACTGCCCCATTCCCGCCCCTCGGGCCCRCTCAGACCCACAGGCAAAGGCGGCGAATGGGGCAGGGCCCTTTCTCCCTCTGCGGCCGCTGCCAACCTCCCCTGCTTGCTCCTGCTGCCCGTTTTGCTAGACAGACATAAAAACTAAAAATCGCTATGGAAGCTGGTGCCGGTCCCAGAGACTTTTTGCTTTCTGCTTTATTCCACAAGATTCCTGTCAAGTTCTGCCTAATGGAAATTAAAAATCCATTGAAACGGCACTAGGAAAACAGTACTTTAATTTCCCCCTTGTTGGTGTTAAAGGATGTTAAGTTGCAGTGTGCTGGCTTCAGAGGAAACTTGCCCAAAGTGCGCGTCTTCTGCCTAAAATGAACCAATTCATCACACAAAGAAAGCGGCAGCTACAAGATCCTGAACTGAACTGCTTGTTTCTGGTCACCATGTCCTCAGGGAGGAAAAAAAAAAAAGAAAAACCAGACCTGGCAGATCTTCTCCTCACACGCTTTGTTTTTATTCATCGGTGAGAGAAAGCAGGGAAAAGCCCCCAAGGTTTTTGCTGCTCTCAGTCCCTAGCCTGTTTCTCGGCTGCAAGYGGATCAGCGAGAGCCCTAACCTGGAGCTAACACTCCCTGCACGAGCCGGAATCTCTCCCGGGATCGGGGAGAACAGTGCTCTCCACCTGCCCCGTTCCTGAGGCTTTTCCCCTGGCCTTGGGCTCCTGGCGCTGTGCTCGGAGCCAGGACCCTCTCTGATCCCGGCGCTTTCCGAGCAGATTCCACACCGGCACGACCAGCGTTTCGGCCTTCGCCGAGTGCCCCTCGCAGGCCCGGGGAGGCGGGAGGCCCTGCCGGCAGCAGCATCCCCACCAGGAGTTATCCTCACACAGCATAAAACACGCTACGGGATGAAGTGGTTGTGAATAACTTCGACAGTCCTAAGATTGAACAGGGGCTGCTCAGACTCCACATTCACCGCAGGCAGGAATTAAGACGTGTGTGACATACAGGTGACACAAGCGGTACACAAAACACCGCAATTAGGTTAAAACAGAGGCATCAGCGGCAGTGATCAAGATCCAGGCACTGCAGCCCCCCAGAACCCCCCGCCAACCCTGGCCCTGCTGAGCCCTCCAGGTCCCTCTCCTTAGCACACGGCAGCGGGAAACGAGGAGGAAGAGGAGCAGGATGGGCCCTGCCGACACCGAGCAGCTCCCAGGTCCCGCGCGAGGCCGCGGAGCAGCGCGGCGAGGACGGCGGGGGACCCCGCACGCGCAGGACCCTGCGCCCGCTGCGCTGCCGGGCGCGCGGCGCCCCTGCAGACACGGAGCGCAAGGGAGGCCTATGGAAGAGGCTTTCCGAGCGCCTGATTCACACGCTCGTCGGAGGGCGGCGGGGAGCGCTGCAGGGCTGACCCAGCCCTCCTTCGTGCCAGCGCACGCCGGCTCCCCGGGGCGGGCGGCAGAGCGGGGCGCAGGCGGCGGCAGAGCTCCCGCGGCGCGCGATTCCCAGCGGGAGGCGCTCGGCTGCGCGCGCGGCTCCGCACCGGCACGATGCGCCCTGCGCCCTGTGCAAATGGTCCTGGAGAGCTGAGTGCTGCGAGCCCGGGGCCGAGCCGAGCGCAGGGCAGAGCCAGAAACATCCCCCTGGCCACAGCGGGGTGCTCCCACCAAGCACAGGGCCCCAGGGGCTCACCCAACGCTTCAACGTGCCACAAAATGCACGTGTGAGGGGAAAATAACTAAGTGAAAATGGGGCTGATGCTGCAGCCAGCGACCTCCTGGCCGGGCGCTCGCCGTGCCGGGGCAGAGCCCCGGCGGGAGCTGGCGGCGCGCGAGCGTGCACACACATGCACACGTACATATAAATGTACATGTACACGTACGTGCCGGGCAGGCCGCGGCTCCCCGGGCTCGGCGCGGCACAGGGAGCCCGGCGGGCGCCGCGGGAGGCAGCAGACAGCAGCTGGCGAGGAGGAAGCGGCTCCGCGCGCGCCAGCGTCCAGGGAAACGGCGGCGGGCGCTCTCCGAGTGACTCACGCTGCCGCGGCGCCCAGCCCTCCATCTGCCGTCTCCTCCGCTTCCCTCGCCAGGAGCTGGGGACGTGGGACACACTCCCCATCCCGGCGCTTCGCTGCGCCCCGAAGGGCCAAATCCCCGTGTGAGCCCCCCGAGCGGGGCAAGGGCGCTTGCCCAGCAGCACAGCCCGCCGAGGGGCACCCTGAGCAGGGCTGCACAGGGCAGAGCGGGGCTGCCCCGAGCCCTCCCGCCCGCGCTCCCCTCGCGCTGCCTCCCTGCACAGGGGAAGCAGCGGCCGAGGCCGAAGGCCGAGCAGCTCCGGTATCCCGCCAGACACCCACCAGCGGCGGCAGGATTCGGGGCTCCCACCCAAAGGGATCTTCTCCAGCCAGGAGGCAACCGCGCCTGCACATGCAGCAAAGCCCGGCAGCAAGGCAGGGACCCCAGGGGCTGGAAAAAACAGCCAGTAACAGCAATAAAAGCGGTCTGGGGAGAGGCTGCAGTTGCAGCTGCAGCCGGGAGCACTGCGCTCGCGCAGCAGCGGCTGCGAGGAAGAGGAGAGGGCCTTCGGCTGCGGCCGCTCCTCCCGGCATGCAGCGGGAAGGGCCCCTTCCCGCTGCCTGGCGAGGCTTTAAAGTGTAAATAGCGGCATTGTTTCCCAGGCTGCTCCTGCCTTCCCGGCTGGGCAGGCCCTGGGAGGCAGGAGATCCATCTTGCCGGCCGGCCCTGCTGGCAGGGCGCAGGAGGGTGCCCTGGAGCAGGGCACGGCAGCGCCTCCCACACGGAGCCGGGAATTCCTGCGGCTTTGTCCACCYGGGGCAACAGCTCTCAGGGAGCTGGGGAAAGGAGAGACGCAAGGAGAGGCACCCAGTGCCCGGTCAGTGCCCTGCAAACCTGCCTTCACCTCTCCTTTCCGGAGCASAGGGCTCAGCTCAACACCCGGGGGGTGTTACTGAATTAGGATGGACCTGGCTGAGCCACGCTCAGCCCCTGAGCTCCAATTCCCAGCGCCCCTCTTTGCTTTGGGAACACGGCACGAGCACAGCAGCTCCTGGGAGCTTGGCCATGCAGGGAAGAGGAGCACAGGAGGGACATTCCTGCGGGAAGTGCCAAGGAGCGGCGCGGAGCCCGTCYGCGGGGCCAAGCAGGGGCTGCCCTGGAGCTTCCCTCCAGCACCAGGCTCTGCCGTGGTGCTCCGAGCCGGCCCCGGACTCCTCGCGGCCACGAGCCGGCTCCTGGCCGCCCCGCGGGGCCGGCAGCAGCAGCCTGCAGCGCACGGCAGCCCCTGCACRTGAGAGSCCTGGAACGGGCTGCCCAGGGGGCTGCCCAGGGGGCTGTGGAGGCTCCTTCTCTGGGGACCTTCCGGAATGCCGCCCTGTGCTCTGGGTGTCCCTGCTGGAGCAGGGGGATGGACTAGATGGTCTCTAGGGGTCCCTTCCAACCTCAACCATGCTGTGACTCCGTGATGCAGCCGCACGGCTGCTGGACACCTCGGTCAAGGGGTCCCTGCCTGCGCCCAACGGGACAGGCTCCGGCTCCAGGGCACCGGAGCCGCCTGTCGAAACTCTGCGGGGAGCCGGACACATCCCCTGGGCCTGGAAACCAGGGCACAGGGCCAAGCGGCTCCCGGGGCGTCCCAGCGCCCTGCGCAGCAGGCAGGGACACGCGGCCCTGCCCTGCTTCCTGCAGAGCTCCCCCGGGAGCAGCGCACCGAACGTGTCG